CTTGATTTGCGACATAAAATACCGCCTTGCACCAGATGTTTTGAATTTCTTTTGCGAAAGATTTATGATCGGCACTAATTAGTAGAAACTTCTTAATTTGCAGTCACACAAGCATAAGAAGAAAGTTAAGTGATTATCATAAAAATATTAAAAGTTAAAGTTGGATATGCACAGCTCCCCTTAAGCCGAATTTAATTATTATTATGCTGCGACTACGGCTCGCGAGTTCCAATCTTAAATGCGTTAGAGTTTATTCTGGTCGCAATTATAGAGAGTGCTCAGCTGGTGAAGACACAACGCTTAGCGATTGAACCACATCCACTAGGCGCTTACCATTATCTCTCTACTTTTTCCTCTCTCGTTGATTCTTTCCGATCGTCACCGTGTTACCCGGATAGTGTACATCCCCGGTGTGATTAGTTTTATTGAAAAAAAAAAAATGCTTCATTTGCTTCAAAGTCTCAAATTCCAATAACTTTGGATACAACGCTTTACCATACAAATAAAAATTTTTCTTAATGGGTTTGAATTTGTTCACAAAAAGCCAAAGTCCAAGTCATGGTTGCTTTGAAGAAGAATTATTGAATGATTGCATATACCAGAGAACGTGAACTTTTTCTTTAATACGCGGACAGTCACTTCTTATCCTCAGGACTGAGTAGTGAGATTATACTTAACTTGTCTTCCCGAAAGTAATCGCCTAAAAAGTCGGGAATTGTACGAAGCGGTTTTCATCAACTAGATCCTAAAGAAATGGCTGCAAAAATTTAACGTTAAATTTTGACGGTTTTGTCCTTGGCAAGCCCTTGATGGGTACCCGTCACGTCTGAAGAATGGTCATGATGACGATCGAACAGAAAAAGAAGAAGCTTGTGACATACAAACTATAGAATATTCCTAAGATATAAATGTCATTTTAGCCCCTTAGGTTTTGGTTTTTTAGAGATGGTTTGGAGCCAATATGAAAGCTGGGAGAAGCCTGACATATCTGTTCTTCTGTGGGTGTAGTTCGCCCTGTAAATTACATACCGTGACAGAGTTTAATCAAAAACTTGGTGGTAAAAAGCTCGCGGTCCCAACCAAGTGGAAAGTGCTTAATAAAATGCTACTAAATTCATTTTTGTATTGTTTCTAGATAAGATACATATTCAAGATTTGTTTCAAGGAGCATACACGTTCTTTTGGTCGGGGTCGATGCGTTCAAATCATGCAAAGCAAGCAGAGAAAGTGACAGGCGATCTAGAGTACGAAAGAGAAGAAAACATTATTGAAATTTGTACCAGCGTTGAAATATTAGCTCGCGATCGAGAATTGCTGTTGTCTGTTGACTGGCTGGCTACCCCTGGTGAAATGCATACACATTCCGTGATATCTCTGTAAAGGAAATTTATTTTACATTACATTACATATTTCTTCTCTTATTTTACTTCGTAAAATAGTATTTTTGGTGGAGGTCGTTAACAAATGTGTTTCGAAGTGAGTTTGCCCGATAACAACGATGACATTCTCGGTCATTGCAAGTCGCTAAACTTACTTACTTGGTACGCTCATCGTCGTAAAGCAACAAATATCTTTTACGTAAATCCATCCATTCAACACTTGTCTCAGTGTGTGGTGTTATGCGATGTGCGTAAGTGTGTGCACGGTGTTGCAATTGTCACTCCTTTATATCCATTCAATATACGCGTTGATATGCTCATATGCATGGCTTTTGTAAGCTTATTCCAGTCATTCGTCATAGTTTCTTGTGCATGTATGGCGTTTGCAGTAAAGATTGTCGTCATGATTTTTATTTGTTTTTGTATGTAAAACTTACAAAAAAAAAAAAAAGTCTTTGCATTGACAATTTGGCTTGTTGCTGTTGTTGTTGCCGCTGTTGTTGTATTACTTACTGCTTGAGTCGCGTAGAAAATTTTTCAATGCAATGACTTAAGTTAAGTTAAGTAAGCAGTCAGTCAGCCCGAGATTTCTTTGGAGTTTTGTATATTTTCCTTATTATGCTTAAGGCGGTTGACACCATAACGACAGCAATAACAACAATAACAGCAACAACAACAAAAAAAGTGAATTGCATGAGGCCTTCAGAGCGGATGTTTCATTGAAATAAAAAGTTTTTTTTGCTTCATTTTTTTATTTTCATTTGAAGTACTCATGTGCGTATGCACACATAGATGCACGTACTTATAATCTGCATATGTGTGTTGATTTCATTACAATACGCAGATTTTTGAATTGATGTGTTTTGCACATATATTGTATATATATATATATATATATATATATATAGGAAGTCTAAAGAGAGAGAGAAAGAAAAAAAAATTCATTTTTATTTTGAAGGATTTTATAAAAGGCTTGTCAATCACTTTGGAGGCTAATGAAAAATGACTTGAAAACGAACAGACAAAGTTTGACTATTGACATTGCGTCAAAAGTTACGGAAGTAAGTTTTCTCTTCTTTTTCTTTTTTTTTTGTAAATAATATTAACATGAAATCTTCATTCATCATTAAGAAAAGTTAAGCGTCGATTATTTTCATAATTAAACGTAACGTTCCGTGCAAGCTTTTCGAAAGTAAGATTACATTTCAAGTGTTACAGGTCTTCGGCCGATTATCAATTGTAGGTCTTTCTTCTTTCAGCCCGATCCGGCTATAGAAGAGAGCAGATGGAAAAAGTAGCTCTAAGAGCCTAATCAGGAAAGTGCAGCTCCTGGACGCATTTGCAGTCTAATATTTGCCTCTTTGTCGTCAAAAAAAAAAAAAAGCGGAGGGGTAGCATTTGGCCGAAATAATGTTGACTGTATGAGATGTTCTTTCTGTAAGTTGACATTTCGACATTCTTAAGGCAATACTTGAAAGTGTTCGGTTAGGGGGATCTTGAAATGAAAAAGTTACAAAAATCCGAATATGTTTTCACGTCAAAACTCATCAACGGAATTTTGAAAACGTTAAGAAAGTATGTAATGAAAGCAACTAGCGATTTTCGATGCTTTACCTTAGCCAACATATAAGAAAGTTAGTCATAGTCAGAGTAATATATGATATTCGTGACTTATTATGACACGTTCAAGGAAATGAAGGAGTTCATGGTTTAGCATTCAGCAAAGTGAAGTGTTACCAAGTTGTGAATAAAATCTTTTAGTTTGCAAATAGAATTCCTTTAGTTCCACAAATAAAGCCCCAGTGACTAGGGTCTCTTAGAGACAACATTTAAATGGAAAAATTTTAGGTAACAGAATATGCAACGAGTTTAAAGTGAAATGAAACACAGTTTCACAATGTGATCAACTTAAGACTAAGTTTGATCCTATGAATATATCTATAGTTAGGGCTTAAACTGGGTTTGATTTTGTACAGCGTCCTTTCTACGGTAATCTATATATAAAAAAAGTTTAGAGGAAGCGTAAGTCCATAAGCATTTTTTTTTATATAATTATCGCTCTATGCCTGCAATGGTTAGAAAGGATTATATAATATGCAAAGGAAGGAAGAGTAGTATGAATATTCTTTGTACAGGCTCGACGTAAAGTATACAAACAACGAAAGGAGATGGTGAAACAGACAGTCCATCATATTTAAGAAGCAGTATTTTTGTTTTGTTTTTAATATCAGCAGTCATTCAGTGGATGTCCCAAATGGATATGTCACAAATAGTGATCGGTAGGTTGAACACAAGAAACATGAACAGACATCGGACGGACAGACTAGCTTAGATCGATTCCGAATCATTTTCTGGAAACTTTTTGAAAATCATAGCTCCAATCCAAAGATGACGCTTGGTTTGAATCGGTTCGCTTATTCGACAACTCTCCATATAACGACTTTTGAAAAATCGATATATGAATAATTGTAGAACAGCGCTGAAGGAAGGAGATGTAATTGTAAGCCGTGCCCTCCTACAGTCTTTTTGTTTAAATTCTACAACGCCTTAGCACGTTTTTGCGAATAATTTCCGTGATATGGAATGAGAACGAGCTGCGTGCCTTTTAGTATTAACCTTAATGGATTATCTTCTGTTAAGTACTTATCATCCGAAAGGGTTAAGTTTGTCCTGCGGACGTGGAATGAAAATTAAATTTGTGATATGTGACCGCTCGGACTTCAGAATCCTTAGCGTAAGCTCTAATCTTATAACGTAGTTTCGTAAAATGTGAGAGTTTAGGAAACTCTCTATTCTTAACTTTAACATCTCTCTCCCTGTCTCTCTCTCTCTCTCTCTTTCCCTCTAAAGTGTAGATATTTGAAAGTCTTTGGATATATCATAATACTTGGCGGCAGCGACAGTGCGTTTCAATTTGTTTTCAGCGGACATATTAATTTATTTAAGATCTTCACATGAACTTAATAATAATTTCAACAATTTTACGAAAATTTATCACTATAACTGCTTTTTATGTGTAAAATAATATTTAACACCTTAAAAAGAGAAAAAAAAATTCATATTTGTTTATTGCTAATCTTGTAATTGGTTTAAATTCAGCCTAAACCTAGATCAGTGATAAACTAACCACATGACTATAAACGTAAACAGTGCGGAGAGAGAATAGTTTTCCCCCTTTTTGTTTAAAACGAAAAAAAATTCAATTATTCTTTTATTATTATAGAGAGTGGAGTGTCTGTCGTCGTCTCTACTACTACTACTATTACTACTACTACTACTTTTATTATTGTTATTGTTGCTGCTGTTGTTCTTTCAGTTGCCATTTAAATTATTTTTATTATAATACTTAGTTACAAACATCGCATCAAAATTGCAAACATTTTTGCATTGCAGCGGTTAGACTTATGTAAAAAATTGGGGAAAAATGTGTATAGTTTTAAAGTGTTTGTTGAGAGCAAAGGTTGTTTGAGATGAAAAACAAATGTAGAACATTTTTTTATTATTATCGCTATTATTATTATTATTATTAGTTAGTTTTATTAATTGTAAAATATTAAAAAGGAAGTACCAGATAAATGACTTCATAAGATTTTCATTTTCATTTAATTTATTTATTTTTAGCTAAATGCAACTTCGAGCAGTCAGAGAAACCGCATCGTTTAAGTTTGGATGTTGGTGATGCAGTGATAATCCTAAAGGAAACCACACATTGGTTTTACGGCTATCGGCAAAGGTAAGCAAAACATATAAGAATTCACGATATCTTATGCATGAATATGTATATGTGTATGTATATGCATATGTGTGTAAAAGATATAATCGGTTATTCGTTATGCGGGATAAGAATCACTTATGCTTAAACAAAGAATGTTTGATTTCCGAGTCAAAACAAAAACTCTTTCTTCTTGTATACATACTACTTCCAACTGCTTGCACATATACATACGTGCACGAGTGTGTACCTAAAAACATAAAAATAAAAAAAAGAATAGTTTTGACAATGAAATGAATAATTACAGTGTTAGGGAAAAATGGTCATTGTTCAGTTTCCACTTATTCCATATCGAAAACTAATTTTTAATATTCCGGGATAAGGCGAGGGAATACGAAAAGCTTTGTAAAGAATGTTTGCAAGAGTATGTAATCGCGGTAATGACTTACATGTTGAAATAACCGATCGATTCGTAATCATCCGTTGAATCGATACAAGCTTATCTGCCTGCCGACCTATAAAGTATCGCTATTTCTGAGATATTTGAACGAAATTTTATACAACTTTTAGCCCCAAACATGAACCCAATTGAAAATAATATGGATCGAATCACTTTTGTGATTACTTCACACACATTGTCCTATTTTCAAAAAGTCATTTCATGAAAAATTTTCAAAATTTCTTGAAAAAATCGGTGAATTTAGTATATCGCTGTACTATACCTCCCTGCTGTCATACAAAGGATGTTACGGAAAGTGAGACTTTATATGGCACAGAGACCTAATTTTTAAAATTTACGATAGGAATTACTCCACAATATAAATTTGAGATACAAATTAATCATAATAAATTTTGAGCCCATAGGTCTACCTTTTTAGACCCTAGCGCGGAAAGTGAGACTTTATATGGCACAATACAAATTTGAGATACAAATTAATCATAATAAATTTTGACCCCATAGGTCTACCTTTTTAGATCCTAGGATTCTCATGAAGACTATTGTGTCCATCTCTGTTTTCTAGCAGTAGAGTTCCGAAAGAACCCTTTTTTGCCCCATCCTCTTCTTTTATCTTTCTTACCGCCACCAATACATGCATAGAAAGTATTCTTAAGTCGTTAGTCAAATACAAAAAACAATAAATACTGAAGAGAGGCAAATCAGCGTGACCAGCTACTGCGTCTCGAACCTTTTTCGGTTTATAAAGCCTCTCAGATAAATTGAATCCCAAATCAAGTACACCATTTATGCCGGGTAGGTGAGAATATCAAAGAGTCGTCTCAAATATCCCGAGCTTTATATGGAACCAGAAGCACCGTAAAAAATGGCTTTATTTGTGATTTCGAAAAAGAAGTAAGTTCTGTGTACCGAAAGTGATTGTATTATAAAACATACCTGACATGTCCGTTTCTTTCGAAATTTCGGACAAAACATAGTTTAGAAATTATACGGTATAGTATTTGCACGGTATACCAAAATGTATATCATACGGTATATCAAAACGTAGCACTTTCTTGGCATGAGTACTCGGCTTTACCAGAGATAGAGGTACTTGCCTTGAATCATTCGAGGCTTGCCTTCGTTTAGGATTTTCATAGGAGATCCATTTTTCATTGACGGAGATAATGTTTCCCTTTAGGGCAATTTAACAAATGTAACCAGATTTTACCTCAACGATTGTTGTTCTTTTCGGCTAGCGGCCATTTTCCGCACTTCTGCGTACTTTCCCTTTCCTTCGACTGAAATTGCTTATTGACTTATACTTCAGTGTATAGCACACTTTTTTTGAGTTTTAGCTGGATGTACATCTAGTACACTTTACGCTCTAAGACTAAATTTTTTTACATAAAATCTCGTAAAGTACTTTTTAGCTGTTTTTACAACTAAAAGCATTTTTGCCCCAAACCCATCCTAATTATGTTCATAGCTTGATCGGCATTTTTTTCAAACTTAAAACAAGGCCGTACATGCTGTTTGTTGGTATCCATCGGTTTATGCTTACCCATCAGTTACTTCTCATAATATAAAGCAATCAATTCAATACGCAGAACTTATTTGTACACCTAATATTTTACACCACTCTAGAAATTGGGAGCGTTACGCACTACTGAAAGTGTTGTTACCGCATTGCAATAATGTTCCAATTACTGAGGTTTAGATATTGCGAAAATCGTTGCGCCAATCATCCGCAAAGTTAGGCGTTTGTTCTTTTAAATTAGGAAAAATGCATACCGAGAAGCAAGTAGGAAAATTACGTTCAATCGTGACCGAACCTTTTATACCCATCATATCACAGTGATTTTGCAAAAAAAAGGCAAAAGAACTAAACTTCCATTGTGCATAATATTGGCGGGTTGCGTTTGATGTTTCCTATTTTTAGAATAAAAGTCTAAATTTATATAGTGTATGTGTTCATTTTCAAATTATTTTACAAGTTTGTAAGCGGGAGAATGCTTGCCGCGGACAGACAGATGAATAGATGAATGGACGGACATGCTTAAGTGTATTCCAATAATTTGGATCCTTGACGGGTTTTTTGAATTTTGCTCATGTGCGTTGCGAACGTTTTGACAAAATGAATACACCACTCATTCTTCGGTGATGGGTATAAAAAAAAAGATGCCATCACACAGTTTTAAGTATAATAAAGCTGCAAAAAGTTAAAATTCATATAATCATTTCAAGACATTTTAGACAAATTAATGTTTGCTTTGAATTTTTTCTAATTTTCGCCGCATGATAGAAAAAATAAATTAAATATTTGCGTTAGTAGTCCGATAAGTTTTTCTATATTTTTAGTTAGCGCGAGATTGTGAAATAGATAGACGGACAGGTACGAGGTATGTTTAAAAAAGAAGGTGACTACAAATATTTATTTATTCATGAGTAATTGCTCTGCCCTTGCCCCCTTCAAACCAAATCCCCCTTAGATACAATACACTGGTGCCAGGGCTTCTTTCAGTTCTCGAATCACATCTGGCGTACGCATTTTGGACTCTTCCAGCTATGCAGTGTGCGCGATGACACATCACCACCGTCCTCGTATGACCAAATTCGTGCTGCTTTAAATGCATGTCTGTAGTTACAGTATCGGAGCTGAGTAGTTGATCGTGACTTGAATGCGTTGCAAACACTTGAGAAATTTAACATAACCAATGCAATGGGTAGCGGAAGGAAGGGAGCAATGATTGATATGATTATTTATTTACATTCTTTGATTTTACAAGAGTTTATCGTTAAACAACTGTTTGTATTCATCGGCAAACTGATCAATACCATAATTCAATGTGCATGCAAATGGATTTGATATTTTTTTCTCTCTCCTTAACCTTTAACACTTAAGTAAATCTTGTTATCTATCAATTTCTGTGCACATTTGTTCAAATAAATATATATATATATATGTATATATGTATATACATTTTCAGTAGCCCGTTTCAATATTTATTTCTCCCTTGACCATTTCATTTGATATCATCATTCGTTATTGCATTTCTGCGGCGTTTGTAACACACACATGCAAACGCAAATAAAAATAAAAAAAAAGAATTTGTTTTTTTGTTATTTATTTTTAGTTTTTTTTTTTTTCTTTTCTAATAACTGACCTTTTTTTTTTTGTTGTACTTCTAATGACTCATAAGGCATTGATAAAAAAAAGAAAAAGAAAAGAGAGATAAGCTCTGTTGTGTAAGTTTTTCTCTCACGATTCTGCCTGCATTTCCTGTGATTATTATTAAAACTTACTTAAGTTTTTTTTCTCATGCGTAAAATCTATTTTTTTTTTAACAAACAAAATAAAAAAAGTGATTTTCTTTTTATTATTTTTCAATCAATATTCCTTTTCGTTCATAAACGATGACAGCAAAGTCATTGCAATTGTCTCAGGTTATCGCTAAATAAAGGGAAAGATTTTTTAATTGGCTTACAGTGAGACATGGATGGATGTTCGTTTTCAAACATCATTAAATTTTATATTGCATGAGTTTTTTTTTTTTATTTAAAAAATGAGATCAGCTTGTTTGATGCGTTTAAAATACAAAAAAAGGAATTTTTTTCTTTCTTTGTCGGTGGTCTCTAATCAATCAATCTAAACGGCGCAAATAAGAATTTTTCATATTTAATGTTTAATTATTAAATGATAATCTTGAAAAATAATAAATCAATAAATAAAACCGTGAAATACATTAACGCAACATGAACAAACAGAAATTTGAATAAATAAGAACTCGAATCTTCCATATCGATTACTCTCATCCTAACGGAGACTGACGGAAAAAAACGAATAAAAACGCTATAGCGGACTACGGCCCACCACCAAATACGCTGCACCATCCCGTAGTTGTTCGTTTTAACGATTGTTGAAGAAAAAGGCGTTCTATGGCGGTCTCTTCGAGCGTTTTTGAATGCTGCTTTTCCTTGGGTCAATCACATTGACCAATAAAATTTTATCAAAATATCTCCAAAATTGTGGCCAGTCAGTTAAGCACAAAAACAGAAGACGGACGGACGGACGGACAGACTAACTGAAAGTGACTCTGTATCGATCGGTATAGTAGAAATTAGTTTTATCTCAAATTCCTCCAGAGTTTTGTATACATTCACACAAACTTAATAGGTTACATACTTGTTCAAAGGTGCACTTTACTTCATTGTTATCGTACAGCCGGGGATAAAACTTTTATTGCCTTTTATCGACATGGCAGTTTAAACTTGAATTAATTCCTAGTTCTTTTTATTACAGTGTTTGGTTACGATAATTACAACGCATGCAATATCTCGAAAAATCGTATAATTTTAGACATATTTGAGTAAATGAAATCTTTCCTGGAAAATATATTAACTCAATAATGAATTTCATAACGTATTCAAGCAATTATTGCCAAAATTATTCATGTTATTTGTTAACATGCATACTAGTGCTCGGGAAGTAATTTATTTTAACGAATTCTTCTTCTTCGTTTTTAACACAGCCTACTTGGGTTCACTATACGTTAGACATGACCCATGAAATAATTAAATTTGATTCACTCTTTTTCGATCCTCAATAACTAGAGTTTAGCTATCGGTTTAACCACTGACTGCCTTAAGTGTCACAATTCATGTCGTTAGGCTGCAAAGTTTTTAAACGATATTATTTAGAGATTTAAGTGAAGAGACATCGTCTAATTGGAGATTACGCAAACTTCATATCAAGCTATCGTGACTGTCGAGAGTAACTTCTCTCTCATTTTCTCAGATCACTTCAGAACCTTGAAGGAATAGTAGTATGTCGTCATCTGTAATATCAAAGTAAGCGAGACTGTATAAACTCTATATCAAGCTATGGTATATATCGAGAATAAATTCAGTCGCTCAGATCACGTTAGAATCTTGAAAAAGCAATGATAATCTACAATAGCGAAGTAGGCCAGATTAGGCAGGCTTTATATCAAACTATAACAATATTACATCGTGAATAAATTCCGTCTCTCAGATCGCTTCAGAGCATTGTAAAAGTAGTATTACTTTTCACCTACGATGGCGAAGTAGACATGATTACGCAGACCTTATATCAAGCAATTCTTATTCGTAATGGCAAACTAGCCGAGACTGCGCGAACCTTATATGAAACTAGATGAGAGCGGACTGAGTCCACAAACGACTTTAGAGTCTTGTAAGAGTAGTAGCATTACATTTATAATGGCGGGGAAAAGCGAGACTGCGCAGACTTTATATCAAAAAATTGCGAATAATTTCTGTCTCTCAGATCATTTTAAGGCCTTGTAAGAGTAACAGTACTTGGTCAAATAAATGCAAGATAGTGTTCTGTGCAAAGTGTTTCTTTCATTTTTGTTTCCGAGTATTTTAGTAGTCAGTCAAGTCCCGCAATAAATAATATTTAGTAAAATCGATGCTAAAATTAAATTCAATTGTTCGTTTGCCAAAGGTGCAGAACGCAAGCAACTTTTTATTCTCTTATGAGTAGTGAAGGCTCTTAATAAAATCAATTTCAACTGATTCTCGGCATTTGTTGTTCAATTAGTTTTCAATTAAAATGAGGTTAGTTAGAGGTTAATAAATATGTTCAAGCCCAAGCATACTCACACACACACACATATATATATATATATATATATATATATATATATATATATATAGTGTATACACTTACACGCAATCGCATAAGATGTGAATGTCAATTTATGCTTATATATTTATATATATGTTTATATATATATATGCGTATATATCTTTTACGTTATATATAAATTATCTGCTATTTCCGTTATAAAAGCTTAACACCATAGAGAGAGAGAGCGCGAGTTATAAAACAAAAAAAAAAAACTTTTTATTCCGACTGAAGTAATTGTTGCTAATAGTTCTATAATCGTTTTTGTTGTTGGATTTTTAATCATAAGCTCACCCTCCCCCCCTATAATGTATCTTGCTTACACATATAAACATAAATGTGTCAACATTTGATCTCAACTCAGTAGTTTTTTGCTTTTATTCACATTCACATGCAATAAATGTGTGAATGAATGATTTTAATTACGCGCATACACGCATAAACATTTTTTGCATTTTTATTATTATTGTTGTTATGATTGTTGTGTCATTCTTATCATTATTATTACTATTATTATTATTATTATTATTATTATGTTGTTTTTGCAGAAATAAAGAACAACGCGGCATATTTCCCAAATCGTATATACATCTGTGCGATTATAAAATTGTTAATGGCATTTATTACATACAACGCACCGAAATTGTAGAGGAAATCACCAAAGTGCTACTGGAATGGGGGACCATTCTAAAGCAATATTTTTTGGTAAATAATATATATAGTTAGAGAAATACACACGCACGCACAGACACACACACACACACACAAACAGGCACATACGCACATACATTCATACATTCAAATAAACACTTTATTACATTATTCATTCATATACACAATGGCCGGATAAAAAATTGTTTATTCTTGTGTTTGCATTCATAGCTCAGTCATCCGGATTTTCATAGTATACGCTCAAAAATGAGCGCTTTAAATAATAATCGAGCTTTGCTGATATCCGGTAATTTGCCAGTAGATGAGATGCGTAAAGTAAAAGTGACAGCCACCTCGCAAATCGATACCGGTAATAATCTTTTGGGTCTTGATATGGTGGTGCGTGACGAAAGCGGCGATATTTTGGATACGAATACGATCTGCACAACAGAACTCTATGAACATCATATGAATGCCGTTAATCGTATAATTAAAGCGAGTGTAGGTTATTATTATTATTTTTTATTTCATATCCACTTCATTCAAATTTATCTTCTTTTCATTAAATTAAAGCGCCCTCAGTCCTATCAACGGTCGGCGAAACCCCTCAATAAATATTCGCATAATATATTGCTGCATGTAAATGCTTTTGTATGCAAATTTCAAGAGGATTCGGATCTTATATTTACACTTTTCGATGGCGAATGTCATAGGGCGATAAGTGAAAATTACGTAGTGAAATGGTCACGTAATGGCATTGCCCGCGATATCGATCAATTTGACAATAATCGGGTTCTCTTCACCGATCTAAGCAAGACTGATGTAAGCATTTCAAAAATGTATTTAGTTTGCTATGCGGTTCGCATAGGAGCGATGGAAATGAAAGAGAACGAAACGAAACGAGCAAGCATCACCAATTCTATGTTGACGGCGGCCAGTAAGAAACATTCACAGTTATCGATTAGTTCAAGCGGTTCCTTTACCAATGGGGAATATTATATGCGGCGACCCTTCGGTGTAGCCTATAAAGATCTCACGCCCATTATTAATAAACCTGAAGATTTCAAAGGTAATTTGGATATGCCGTTTATACTCTGCGAAAAGGATAATCTAGATGGAGCGTTACGTAAATTAATTGCTAATAAGGACATTGGAAAAATTGATTCGCGTATGGCTGTCACTGTCGAAGTTCTACAGGGTGATATTAAACAAATTAGAGAAGATTTCCCACGTTTACTGCATACGAATGTGCCCATTGCTAGAAAAATGGGTTTTCCCGAAGTCATTTTACCGGGCGATGTACGCAACGATTTATATTTAACTTTATGTTCAGGTGAATTTTCGCGTTTGACTAAAACTTCGGAAAAAAATGTCGAAGTTAGTGTGTACGTATGCAACGAACAAGCTCAAGTGGTACCAGGTGTTATGAGTATTGGTGCCGGCTTGGCGCCTATAGACGAATACAAATCCGTTGTTTATTATCACGATGACAAGCCCAGGTGGTTAGAAACGTTTAAGGTATAAAAAAAAAAAATCCTTTGTCTTTATTCGCTTATGAATTTTTTTTTTTTTTTTTTTTTTTTTGTTTAACTCTATTCAATTTAGATTCATGTGCCCATAGATGATTTCAAACAATGTCATTTAAAGTTTATTTTCAAGCATCGCAGTTCGAATGAGCAAAAAGATAAAATGGAAAAACCATTTGCCATGTCTTACATTAAATTGATGCAAGATAATGGTACAACTATAACGGTAAATTTTTAATTAAATTCTCTAATGAACATCTGATAAATCTAAAATCTTCCTTCAAATCGCACAAAAATGAATTATATCAACAGCAAGGTCAACATACTCTATCCGTTTATAAAATCGATCATAAAAAATTGGATAAATCAAATACTGCCAATATATATATGGAATTGCCTGCCACCGTCGCGGAATTGCAAGGCAATAAACCTTCTGTTACTGGTCTCTCATTACTGCCCAAAGATAATTTAATAATCGGAGTTAATCTATGCAGTACAAAGTTAACTCAAAGTGGTACGTCTTCTAGATCGTAATGATGAATGAATAAATAAATATTCAGAATTCCTAACGGATTTCGTTTCTTTTTCAATATGTAATGTAGTAAGTTTATTGGGCCTGTTAAATTGGTCGGCTCATAAGGAGATTTTGGAAGAGTCGTTAAACGCTTTATCCAATGTACCTGGCGAAGAGGTTGTGAAATTTCTGCAAGACATTCTCGACGCTTTATTTAATATATTAGTAGAAAATGATAATCCCGAAAAGTACGATCAATTAGTCTTCATGAGCATCATTCATCTCATTGAGACAGTATCCGATTTGAAATATCAACATTTTCTTACCGTCCTAGATGTCTACATCAATGAGAGTTTCTCGGCTACTTTAGCTTATCAGTAAGTTTTTCTTTTATTATTATTATTATTATTGTTGTTGTTGTTGTTGTTGTTGTTGTTGATGTTGTTGCTGCGGTTATTTAAACCAAACAAACAGCAAGCAGGTGTTAAATTTGCTATGTTTTCGTTCTCTTTTTAGAAAACTCATTGATGTCTTGCAAAAGAACATTAAAGATGCCATTGAACCTCAGGAAAAATCAGCAGATGGCATTGAAATTGATGAGCGTATTGAGGTTAAACGTTTATACAAAACAACACGTTATCTACACTATGTCATGAAGTTTATTATACGTTCTCGTATATTATTTTCAGCAATTAACGGCAACGATGATTATGAAGATTTCGCCAATAAGTTGCAAGGTAAGCTTCCATTTCATATCTATTTGTTATTTTCAATTGTTCGATCATTAACTGACTTACTTTACTAATTTACAGAATTATTGGAAATGTTCATACAAATGATAGCATGCCCAACAGATTTATTGAAATCGGAAGGGGCCTTATTGAAAAATTTGCATATAATAGCTACCGATTTAATGCAAGTTTTCGATCCTGTCCGCTTGAGGTAAATCGAATAAGCTTTTACATGTCCTGCAATGCGAATGCACATAAGCACTTTATAAATAATTTTTAGCATTTAAAACGCAGACAGGGAAAACATTGCAAGTTATAAAGCACTTTTTATGAATTCAGCTAATTTTTGGAAAGATGTTTTTTTGCTCTTTTGCTTTCACGATTACACAAATCGACATTTATACGAGTATATCTACAAAAAAGTTCATCAAGTTGAAGCAATTCTGCATCGCAACTCTTTGCTTCCTAATTTACATAGAAACGAAAAACATGGGGAGCGCGAGAAACGACTTACATATAAGTCCGATTTTGCATAGATGAAATATCCGTAGCCTAGGTAACTTCTAAGAGAGTGAAGCATTTTTCTGTGAAATAGTTTGTCACGGCTAGGGAGAACAGGACCACATTTACGTCTCCATAAGATGGTGTATATAATCAATTTACGCTAAGATGGGCCATTGTAATCATTTCTATTGCTGGACATTCCGAAATTTTTTTAATTCCTTTTTACACATTCGGAATGCCGCCAATGGACCCTACTTCTATGCTAACACCTTTTACCAAGTATTTTTATCACCAGGATGAAATTATTATACTATGACGCAATCGCAGCAGATTGTGGATATGAAAAGTTTTCTCCAAGACGCATCTACATTAGCTTAAATCGGTTTATTGTTGTGGATTAACTTGCCTAGATTATAGTCATCATTAAACACCCTACACCGCTTCGTTTAATTCAGTTATTCATTTATATACCAATAAACGTGTTATATGGGGAAAAGTGCTCCGACCCGAACCACTTTCAATTCTTAATCCTTGGGCACATTCATCGAGATATCGCGAAAATTGCGACATGAATGTAAAACAGACAGAGGGACAGACATCGTCTTTATCTAATCAGAAAATGATTCCAAATCGATCGATACAATAAAAGGTGGACCCATAGCCCTTCTGAGCGCCCAAACTTAGTATACGCTTGCACCATAAGTGTTGTAAAGTATAGTAAAATATAAGAAGTTGCGGACAGCTCCATCAATCAGAAAACTTCGAAGCTATTTATGTTCAAGAAAGACCTAAGGTTTAGCCAAAGCATTGAATCCATTGATAGGAAATTGATTACAAGTCTTCTCTCTCATCTGTCAAGAACGAAATAACCTAAAAGAATTTAAGTAATCCGAGTTGCTCAGGACATTACTTAATTATGAAATCAAGTTATCATAGAATCACTTGACCAGGCAGGCATGGACAGGAGTGACAATTCTTTGCTTACTTTCTGCCAAGTGCTTATGCCCTTTCAGTTCTATTAAAATATGAATAATAAATAAATTAACTTAATAATTAAGCTTATTCTCGGCAACGTTACACCTCATCTTTTCATTATTTAATTTATTGAATTTGTTTAACAGCATCATTATTGTGAACATTTTGAAACAATTTCCTCCGAGACGTTTAACTCAATCGAAAATGGGTTGCATTAAAGATTTTGTGGATTCGCAGTTATTTTATTTACCCGAATGCCGTGCCATCCTGCTGCCAGTATTTTGTAATCATATTAAAGATCGTTTAGAAAGCAAAGAGGAGGTACGTACATAACGTTATATTGACGTTAAGATATACATTTTTTTTGCATTTTCCACTCGTTTTCGTTATATATCTTTTAACATTCTTGCTGTGCATTACGTTTTTAAAGCCTGATCTAATGATTTTTTTATTATTATTATTATTATTTTTTTGCCATATTATAACATTGTGTCATTTCTAGTAAACCAGGTTCAACAAAAAAAAAATATATATATATATCTATATCATAAACTTTTCCAATTAATTTTCCTAATCTAATTCATTTCATATCAAATTTCTATAAAATATTCAAACTTAAAAATGCTCCCGACATTACGCGAAATTACGAAAACAATGTTTTAATATAGCAAATGAAAGAAAACTTTTTGTCTTCATAACTACTTTTATTGTTGTTGTTATTGTTGTCATGCAATAGATATAATTAATTTGTTTGTTCGTTTGTTTGTTTTTTTTTTTTTTTACTTTGTGTTTTGCATTGATTACCATGTTTTACTCTATTACGCATGTACACGTTATATGATGCTTGTAATAGGTCTTTGAATGTTTTCAGAGCATGTATTTTAAATTTGTTATGCATTACCTCTTGTTGTTGTTGTTGTTGTTGTTACGTGTTGTTTTTTGTCTTTTTCAAATTAATTTTTTTTTTGTTTTCTTTGAAGAATTTTAATTAGAAAAATGTTATTTTTGAAAAGACTTTGTTGTGGGATCACACAATGACGAGAAATTCGATCACTTTTTGTTATAAGGGAGAGTAAAAATTCATGTCTATGTTTAATGCCAGTAACAGTTAATCGAAATAAATGGCATAACTATTTCAAAACGGAAAAAAAGTTTGTGTCAAGACAGCTAATCCAATAGAAATTAGAGGATTCTTGTAAGTTTTGGGGTGCGAGCGTTACCTATTTTTTTCATATATTGGATTAGGTTGTTAAGCAGTTTCCTTTATTGCCAGGTTGCCCTACAGACTACTCCTGCTTGCCTTCTTCCCGTTCAGCGTAGTGTTTCTCGCCTTGGCCTTGAAGAGATTTGGATTGGATGTATTTTGACAAATGCGGTAGCCTTGAAAAGCAATTTCTGTAGGAGTGTCTGCGATTTGTATATCACAAATATATAATGCAGTCAGTTTCGTTTTCAAAAATTTTCATAAACTCTATTAAGCATTTGTCTATTATTAAACACTTTCGACCCTTGATTTACTTCGGCGGTTGTATGCTGCAGTTGGCGGCACTAAACTGATACTATTATATTTTGATGTTCCTCTAAAATGAAGCTATGCTTCGTATATTAAGTTTATTAATTCATGTTTGGGTTATTGGAGTAGGCTCATAACTCACAGGAATCATCTTTAAAAAAAGTCCGCCGGTTGATTCAATCCTAAACATGAAGGAACTAATTTAAGTTGCGGATATTTAAAATAGTTATAAAGTCCAAAAATTCGATTTCGTCAATTGTCCCTTGTCTTTGCTAAACTGAAAGCATTCAGGAAACTTCCTGGTACCATTTACACTCAGACATGACTGCCTAAAAACTTGAAGAATAGTTGAAATTTACTTGTTGTTTAAAGGGTAATTTAAAAGAGCGCATTTTTAAGGAGATTCGATGACTCCACTTCTCTCAATAACAGTACATAGTGGAAAATATACACTTCACAAAACAAAAGCTGAAATCAGAAGCTCTTAGTATTTGAAATAGAAGAAGAAAACAAGAAAAACTTCTTTAGAGTAAATGTTTAAAATCCAAGGTACAACTGGACAAAAAGGAAAAAAGCTCAAAGCTTCTGCTTCAATTCATTTTCTGCTAGGTTTACTTTTACGCCCTACTGCGTTTGGCCACTGTAGCTAACCACACTTTCGCGTTTTCAGCCTTATTTTTGACATAGTATAAAAATTTGTTGGAATATTTTTTGAAAAATTTATAGAAAATTCCTACTTTTGCTACATTTTGACTTAAATCCTTCGGGAACTTCATTTACCAGAACTCGGTTAATGGTTTAGCAGAGCTCTGTTAAAATTTTAGGTTAATGCCGTTGCTAGTTATTCTTATATACAACTTGACACTCTTTCTTTGGTCTTCGCTCTAACTTGCCTAAAACGCATGGAACCCGCCTTAATTCAATAGATGTTTTTAAAAATTTTTGTAAAATTTTGTTTCTTCTCTTAACAGTCTAAACACTTTCAAACTTTTTTACCTAAACACTTCTTTTTTCTCCTTTTCACTGAAACCTCGTCCCACTGTCTCAATGATTTCGATGTCTCAGTCGTCTTTTTTTTACAAAATCCTTGTTTCATTGTCTCAATGATTTCAATGATCTCAATGTCTTAGTGGTCTAATGATCTTCTTTTTACAAAATCCCGATCTCAGTGATCTCGGTGGTCTAAATATTTCCTTTTTACAAAATCCTTATCTCAATGTCTCAATGATCTCAATATCTTAGTGGTCTAATAATCTCCTTTTTACAAAATCCCGATCTCGGTGATATCGGTGGTCTAAATATTTCCTTTTTACAAAATCCTCATCTCAATGTCTCAGTGGTCTAATGATCTCCTTTTTACAAAATCCTTATCTCAATATAAATCGCTTTCTTCTGACAAGATAGTTAGTAGTTTCTGCATTTTTTCGCGTTAGTGAATTTTAAGAAAGGTAATGATTTTAATTCGCATTAGTCCCCGTCAAAAGTGAATGTTTTTACTTTCAGGAACATTGAAAAAGTAAAAGTCGAAAGTAAATCCATATGTACGTATACATATCAGTCCATGAGTATATAAAGTGTATGTTGGTAAAATTGTCAGTGTTTCAAAACGTGTAGCCGGAAAGTTTAGATTGATTGATAAAGATAAGACTATTAGTATTAACTCTTTCGATATATAGATTGTACGCACAAGTTGTATGAACGACACTCATTCATCATGTTTATTGGAAATAATCATTTTATCCGCAATCTACCAGTGCATTAACCACATCTATCCGTATACAAAATCACACATAATCACGTATAACTCTACTGTATAGTATTATGGCTATAGAATATCCATTTTTGTTTTTTATTGTTGTTATTTACTTTACTTCTTTTTTTGTGTCTCGTTTAACATTAAATAAAAAAGCAAAAAACAAAAAACAAAAAAAACAAATCCTGTCCATCATTCCCAAAATATTTAATCATTTGAATGTGTTTTCATATCTTTCTCTTTCCGATCTTACCACGTATTCCTTCTAAACATAAATAGACATTTATTTATATACATCTCACATGCGTACCTATATAGCCATTGTTTTCTAATAATCTTTTCTTTTTTTTTTTTTTTTTTTGGGTTCTTTTCTGTTTGTTATTATTAAAAAAAAAACATTCACTTTTTTTCGAGCACATTTTTCTTCTTTTTTTTTTTTGTTTTTATTTTGGAATCAAATACAGAAAAAATCTCGTTTTACAATTAATCTAATTTGTTGTTGTTATTGTCGTTATATTACTACTGTGTTAACTCTGGCAAACGTTCTTCTCTTACAAATCATCACAAATTCAAATGAAACCTTATGTGTGTGTATGTGTATGTGTATATGTAACAATATAGGGCGACTCCAAATCCGATATATGGCAACAAGAAAAAAATCTTTCGAAAGCAGCTAAAGTTCTTGGACAATTAAAATCTCAACTGCATACACGTGAGACAACCGCTAAACAAAAGGTAAAAGAAAAAACAAAAAAAATAGAAGGTAAAAAAAATTAAAAAAAAAAATAAAGAAAAAAAAAGAACACTATAATGAAAATCTAAAAATTCTACAAACATTACATAAAGTACGATGTAAACACACAAGAAAACGAGAAAGCAAAAAAAAAAAAAAATCTAAACACTTCAGCGATAGAAACATAATCCGAATGTGTATGCATTCGTTCGTATCCATTCATTATTAATATTATTCAGGTTAATTTAGTGGTAAAAATATAATAAAATTTCCGATTTGCTTGATTTGTTTACAATACAAAATGTTCCTCTTACTTTAACAGATTTGTTGTTTTGTTTGTTCGTTTGATCGTTTTTTTTTTTTTTTTTTGTTGTTATTTCCAATTAATTTATAATAACCATACCTGAGTTTTGTTTATTGTTTATTTTGTATGTATTTTTACTTTAATTTATTTATTTATTTTTATTTATTTACTTGTTTTTTTTTTCTTTCTTCAATTAAATCCAAAAAGCTAACAACGATAGAAAAAGTTCCTTTTTTTTAATATTTTCTAATAAACGTCTTTTGCAAAATATAGAAAAAAAGTTATTGTTGCTAAAAATCAAGTTCTTTCAAAAGAATAATGAATCGAGATATGTCGCAAAGCAAGTGGCATCGGTCCGTTAAGGATTAATTTATGATCCATTAAGGCATGACATAAAAAGTATATAGAAATCAGAAAATCGCCAGGCGATTGATCTATTGATCCAACGACTTGTAAGTTTCAATCTAGGATATGGTTATGGGGACATTTAGGATCTGTAGGGAGCTACTCTAAAGAATATATTTTACTCGACTGACAAAACCGTCAAGCACATCCTAAAGCAAAGGATGGAAAATGCAAAGTCAAGAGTACGTCCTGCTTGGATAGAGAGCTGTTTTTTTATATCTACCTTGTGGTGAAGAATGTTGTGTTGCGAGAGTTCTTTAATGAATTACGGTAATCTTATCCCACCTATCATTTTCTCTGCAGAAATGTTAATTTAATTCAATTGCATTCTATATATGAAAGACAAGAAAGAAAGAAAATATGATGCAATGAATAACGGCGTGAATCATCTGTTGTTGGCTCACTGATTACCTTGGAAGAAGAAGACGCTAATGTGCGAGACGTAAATATACGATATATTGAATTAGATTAGGTTGTGTAAAACCTTTCGGCGTTTTTTCAGCAAAATTCCAAAACATTTCCCTTATGTCGCGAATCAACTTTTTGTTATATCCTACATCACAAGTAATACAAGGTATATTAAGTTAGGGCGGACGTATGTAACACCAAGAAGGGCTTAGGATGGACCTACCTTTCATTATGCCGATCTATTCAGCATCATTTTCTAAATGGATCCAAGCCTGTCTGTCCGTCTGATGTCTGCCCATCTACTTTTATGTTTAAGCTGCAGGTTGTACCTGCCTACGGAAACTGGATGCTTATATGGTTAAAAGATCGAATTTCCCACACTTCATAGTGAAAATTGGCTGATAATAGTAAATTGACAAAGACATCCACCTTACCGAATTTGGAACACATATGTATACTGCTTCTTCGAACCGTAATATATATAGGGAAACCTTTCAATATGCGGGCTTTCATGAAAATTATGGCTTTGCATGAAAATAATGCGTACTTTTTGGTGTATTATTACCCAAACGAGCTAATAACTGTACCAGGCGAAGTGGTATAGCGAATGTAATAGTCGGTGTTGCCCGTTCTTACTTTGGCCACTTTCCTAATAAAACGTCTATGCGGCCATTGTAGAACTCCTAGGATCCCTCATTGAAGAACTGAACCACTCACGCAGACCACCGTTGAAGTCAGTTAAAAAAAAATTCTGCTTGAAGGAGGCAAAGTCTGGCACTGTCGTGAGGTAAGAGTGCTTGATGATATTATAGAGATAGACAGCAATTATCTTCATATGGAGATCACATGGTACAGTGTACGATTGTCTTTCTTTCTATCCTAGCTTTGCCTTACATGGAGTCAGTCTGAACTTTCCCACTATGAGCCATAACTTTTTCGCGCATTATCATCGTATGCGATTCATCTTTCATTTCCCTTTAGCCATTTATTCGACAATAGTTCTCGAGTTCTTCTTGTTTCCATTAGATATTTCATTGTTTATTCAGATGCTAAATATTGGGCCAGTTGGTCTTGTATCCGGTCTTATGCACACTACGCACAAGATAGAAGATAGCTGCAATGGCTTTTTCCCAAGTTTTAAAAAATCTCATCAACGATCGATCAGAAGGTCATCAATATCCAAATTTTGTTAGCGGGAAAGGAGGAAGCATTCCTCTGCTGCTGGTTTTGGTAAACCATCGTGATATCCTGTTCAAATTTGCTGCTTTGACATGCTTCGGCAGGAGCACGAATCTTTCTTTTTGTTATATAACCATAGCCCGGCACATATGGCGTGGTGATGGTCAGAAAGGGTTGAGCAAAGAGAGAAAGCGATACGCGCGTGGAGTGGCCGTAGTGTAATCCCATCTATTCAGGAAGACGCCACAAACTTTTTCCCGTACTTAGTGTTTTTATACAATATGACAGCTTGTCGTACATCAGTGCCACATGCTATGGAGAAAGTCAAATGGAGTTATTTCCACTTTCCATGTTTTTATGGAAATGCTTTAGAAAGCGGATAAGATCGTAGATTTTAAATAGGTGAAGAGATCACTTTAAGTGCCCGGTTCTTCTTAATCGTTTAACAAAATATCTTTAATAGTTTCATCTTCCTATCGCTAGTTTTGTGAGTGTGGCAAGTCTCTAAAAATGTAAATCAAATTGACTCAATAAAGTGAGTGCAGATCATTGGTAACTCGAAAGCTAGGTAGGCAAAAAAAAAAAGAAAATCTGAACATCAGTATTTAAAGGTGTTTTCTAATAATTTAAAATTTTAAATCAAATTGATTCACTAAAGTGAATTGCAGATCAGAAGGCGAAAGCTAGGTAGGCAAAAAATAAAGAAAAATCGAACATCAGTATTTAAAGATGTTTTCTAACAACTACAAGTGATCAAAAATTTCTGATAAGTAATATTTTTTAGAAACATTTTTTTATATACGTGAGTTAAATTGAATCAATTTGGTGCTCTCTTCGTACTGCGGCTGTGTATAGATACCTATATACATTTTGAGTTATTTAATACGTATAGATTTGATCTATATATATATAGATGATTTTAGAATTTTTTTTTAAATTTCGAAAACGAAAAAAATTTCAAGTTCAGCCTAACGTGTACTGAGCGAAGTGATAAGATTGTCATCTAAGAAGGAAGCAGGCAAGTGCTATCGACTTCTTACGCATTGTGGACGACAATAAATAAGTCACAGCAAAGCTTATTTCCCTAGACATAATTTTAAGACGTTATTTGCGATTTCCACTTAACACTGACGTAGGCGACCAGGTTAACTAGCAACTTCATTATCGGTATTTATTGACAGCAGAAATAATTTTGTAGAGCCTTCCATGAAAATTTGTATGCTTTGTACGAGTATAAATACACCAATACCAGGTGCGGTAAAGACGTAAGGCAAAGCAGCAAGACGTTCAGTGATCTTATTAAATAAGCTTCAGCTAAAATTGGAATTGTTAGTGTGCTAACGCTTCTTAGCAACTTCTTCTTGCTCACTGCAGATACTCGTAGACAAACGCTGTGAAGATTTCAGTACGAAAAAGTAATAGGTCCACTAGAAAGTCCTATCCTGTCCGGCTACGATATTTTTCAGCGACTATGCAACACTGAATGCATAAATACCGGCCTAGCAAGTGCAGTGAAACGAATACCATTCATGTTCAAGACGCGATCCGGCTACTGATAAAGTTAATTTGCGCTCCTGTATTTTGTACGAATTCCAACCTGGAAGAAGTACTAAAGAAGCCCGTGTGCAAATTTATTGCAACCGTTCAGTGAGGGTACAGCTTCTGATAAAGTATGCAGAAGATGGTTCGAAAAATTTCAAATAAGTGATTTCGACTTTTCTGATAAGTGCTACTCTAGCTGACCATCCTTGCTCGACCAAGGTACTGTCATCAAGATCGGTTTAGAGTAAAATTCCTTTTTGACAACACTGAAGATTGCGGAAAGGCTTGATCTAGCTCAACAAACCATTTCGGACTATATTTGTAAACTAGGATCCTAAAAATGAACAGAGTGTTCCGGTAGACCTATTACATCTGCTGCGATTGTCTCGGACAGGACCGTTTAATTAAAACTGGCTGTCAGGGCGATTTGTGCGCTACAAATGAGTTGTAAGAGCGTTAGAGTTTATATTAATTTTGTCATCCCGCCCTGGGAATTCTTACAAAACACATTCGGGTGACCTGAATAACCAATCTGTCCGTGAGTCATCTGTTGCTCTTTTGCTGGTCTTGTCAAAATTTCGCAATTTGAAATAAAAACTTCTTGCCCTGGCAGACAAATATTTAGCGCTGCATTCGGATCTTCAAGAAAGATAACTGGTAAGAACGTCTTCTTCCAAAACAAAGTTCGTTTCACCGGTTTCACAATCTTCCTCTTACCCATACCTCCTAAGTCGTATTAGTTGACTTGAAATGTAGTTTAGCTAGCTACAGTTATAGTAGATCCAAAAGTACTGCTACAACGGCTTAAAAAAGAATGTTGTATGGAAGTGTTGTGTGTTTCTTCACTTAATTACGGCATCCTTTTATAAATGCTGATCACAAAGAAAAATGAGTTACATTCTGCACTAAAACCATCGGAAGTCATCATATAGTCATGTTTTCTAACGAAAAATAGCGATGAACACACGTTTATTTTGAGTAACGAACGTGCATGCATTGCGTCTGCTGTTGGATCCTAAGTCAGCACAAGTTCATTGAATATGTCCACATTTATGCAACTTCCAGAACGACTTGAAACGTTATGCAAATTGATTTAGAATCGTTGTCTGTTATTTTTGAATCGATTTAAGGCTGTTCGTCTGTCTGAAGTTGGCCAGGCAGTTTTGGAATTTTTAACGTTGGTGGAATTTTTAACATTTTCCTTTGTTGAAATAGTGAAAACTTTTACAACTGAATTGCATCGAACGATATACAAAAGATTACTTCCCCCAGAGATAAATTTATTCTGAGAATTTCTTTCAAACGATTTGTAGAAAAAAAAATGTATTTTTGTGAAGAGCTAGATATCCGAGAAACACTGCGAGAGAGAGAGAGAGAGAGAGTGATAGAAGAAGAAGAATTTCTACTTGCTACGAAGAGTAAAAGTTCTCATTCGCAAGTGTTTCGGGTATTATTGATAGTTCGATTTTATTAGGTAAAGCCTTTTATTTTAAATATTCTATACATTTTCATTTACTTTCTTTCATTTGCGCGTGCATATCTTTCCCGCTCTAGGTTAACGAGTGCATTAACATCATGAATAACATCTTAAAGTTATTATATCGTAAAGATATTGGTCAAACGCATAACGATACGCGAGACATTATGCTAATACTCCTGCGTACAGTCATAAAAACTTCGCAAGCTTTGGATCGTGAGAATCAGTTGGTTGGCAATTTAGTGGCCATTATGCTGGGCATACTGCAACGGATGGATTCGCAGCATTACGATATATTTGTGAAGCATTTAAACAATCGTTTTGAGCTGCAAGATTTCGTTATCGAAATATTGCTTGTGTTTGAGGAATTGGTGTCGCCGCATCAGAAGAGTGTCTTTCCACGTGATTGGATGGACATGATTATGCATCAAAATACAGTGATATTGGGCTCATTGCGACATCTCTCCGCAGTGATTATTGATCATTTCTTCGAACCTTTCGAAAAGCAAGTTTGGTCGAATTTCTTTCAATGTTCGATTGCTTTTCTAATACAATCACCGCTACAATTAAATGATTTCAATGACAATAAACGTCAGATAGTATTTGCCCGTTACCGAGATATACGCAAAGATACGGCTGAAGAGATTCGTAAAATGTGGTTCCAATTGGGTGAACATAAACCCAAATTTGTACCTCAATTAGTTGAACAGATCCTAGAGATGAGTATGATACCCGAAATGGAATTACGAAAAGCTACCATACCTATATTTTTCGATATGATGCAATGCGAATACTATAGTTCGAAAATGATACACGACAGTTACGGCGATACGAAACGTAACAATGCCCATTACAAGGCAAATTTTAATGATTTCGAAACGGAAATGATTGAAAAACTTGATATACTGATAGGTGCTGGCAAGGGAGACGCTCAATATAAAGATCTTTTTGAATTAATTATGATGGAAAGATGCAAAGCCCATAAAATGCTTAATGTGGAAGGCACAAAATTTGTAAATATGGTTACTAAGCTAATGGAACGCTTGCTTGAATACCGTTGCATTATACAGGACGAGAGCAAAGAAAATCGCATGGCATGCACCTTTTCGCTGTTGCGTTTTTATTCGGAAGTCAATCGTAAAGAGATGTACATACGTTACGTATACAAATTATGTGATTTGCATATGGAATTTGATAATTTCACTGAAGCCGCCTTCACGTTAAAACTGCACACCGAACTATTGACATGGAATGATACGGAATTGTCACCGCTGTTACGCTCGCATCGTCATATTCAGTGTCGTACACATCGCGAATTAAAAGAGGCTTTATACGATGAAATCATTGATTACTTTGACAAGGGTAAGATGTGGGAGTGCGCTATCGATATGTGTAAAATTCTGGTCCAAGAGTATGAAAATGAAATTTATGATTACATCAAATTGGCTGAATTGCTTAAAAAAATGGCTTTGTTTTTCGAGAAAATTCTTAAAGAGTTACGGCATACTTCTGAATATTTTCGAGTGTGTTTTTACGGTTTGGGATTCCCGAGATTTTTACAAAACAAAGCTTACATATTTCGTGGCAAAGAATATGAACGGTTAAGTGAGTTTAGCACACGTATGTTAGTTCAACATCCGCAAGCGGAACTTATGCATACCTTGGAGATCCCGGGTGATGATATTACCCAAGGCGAAGCTCAATATATACAAATAAATAAAGTAGAACCGATAATGGATGAAGCCTTTACCAAATTCAATGATAAAATCATAGCCAAAGAAATTGTGAAATACTTTACTAATAATAATGTGCAAAAATTCAAATTTTCTCGGCCCTATCGTGAGTCAAGTTCGGAAGCGGATGATGTGCGTAGCTTGTGGTTAGAAAGGACAGTGCTTACGACACAATTTCCGTTACCGGGTATTTTAAGATGGTTCCCGGTAGTGGCTTCAAATACTTTTAAGGTAATATATATATGTTCTATATATATATATGTATGTTTCTAAGAAAACTTTCCTCTTTCATAGATTTCACCTCTTGAATTGGCCGTAGAAACTATGAAAAATACTAACAAAGATATACGTGATTTGATTATTGCCCATAAGAACGACGACAGCTTACCTTTGAATCCGTTAAGTATGAAAATCAATGGCATTGTTGATCCTGCCGTTATGGGTGGCCTGAGTAAATATGAGGACGCCTTTCTCACTCCGGAATATATGGAAAATCATCCCGAGGATGTTGAATTAATAGAAGAACTAAAAGATTTGATGGCCTCGCAAATACCCCTTTTGGAAATCGGTAAACGACATTAAGCATCATGTAATAACTAATAAAATGTTTCTAATTTATTTAAAATGATGATATTTTTATAGCGATTGCTTTGCATAAACAAAAAGCTCCAGAGTCTTTACGATTATTCCATGAACGGATGGAATCATGTTTTATCGAAATGCAGGCCAACGTTGAAGGAAAATATGGTAAAAAGGTAAGCGCATATACCGCGTAAGAAGTCATAAATAAAAGATAATAAGTTGAATTTATGTTTATCTAGGAGATAGGAAAACAAATGATGAGAGGAAAGCAATGCATAGATTGAAAAAAACACGCTATTGAAAGAAAACAATCGAGTAAATATTATCTAAACTTTTACATTTACCATCGAAGTACGCCAGATAGGGTTGCGTACGAGCGAAATTCGGCCAATTTCATTTGTCGCGTCTGTTGTTAGAATTTCCAGAAAGTTGCAACTCGATGCAACTACTTGCTGAATCCCGTTAATAAAGTTCAAAAATGGAACAGCAGAAAAAAAAAGAAGGAAAACCTAATCATGCAATGTTCTATCCTTCGTGTTCTTTAAAAATTTTCTCCAAACAACTATCGGATGAGATTTCCTAAAAAGCTTTCAACTTAATAATAATCATGTCTGCTAGAATTTCAATATTCAATATAATTTTACAATCTAAAAATCATATCTGCATCGTCCGCCTTATGCATATATATGCGGCTTTTTTAATGGTTCTAACAGATGCCTTCTTCTGATCTATTGGCTTATCGTACTTGATACGGAGACTTTATTAAGGCAACATTTAAGAATGTGAACTAAAAATTTTTAGGAAAAAGGGAAACATTAGCAATAGTGGGGCGAAGCAAGGAAATTATATTCGTTCGCGTCCGAATCCATTATACCCATCATCGTGATCTTAGGGAAAAGAAAAAGAACTATGTTTTCATACTTCATAATATTGGGTGGGCGCGCTTGACTTTTTCTATTTTCAGAATAAAAGCGTAAATTTACAAGGGATATGTGTGGTAGCTGATGAGTAACGAACGCGGAAGGCAGAGATGTTCACAGTTTCTGTTATGTAAACGTGTGGGTTTATTCTTCGAAAAGTTTGGGTCATTTTCAAATTCTTTTCCAAATTTGTAGGCAATGTCTTCACTTTTGCGAACGGGAGAACGGTTACCGCAGATGCTACGCAGTTGCGCAGACGGACAGATGGACAAATGAATGAACAGACAGCAATAACAGTAACTGGGCCAATATACTTGAAAGGGTTTTTGAAGCTTGCCTCTGTCCGGTATACAGGTTTTTTAAAAAAAAGGACATTACTGCACACTATAAAACTGAATAGTCGTGGCGAACTTTTTCCATTTTCATGCATGTACTACAGCATCATTCAAATTTTTGTGCATTTAACGGCTATAGCTTATGAGTAACGAGCAAAAACCCAACGTTTCGAAAAACAGAGGTGTTCTCAGATTACTTGGTACTATGGCCGTGTCCCTCGACTCATTAGGTCCCTTTGGAATACCAATCTGCGAGCAGGAACTTCAAATTTTTTTGCCGAAAGCTTAATTTTTGCGGCCAGGGGAATGTTTACAACAGACATCACAGAGATGGACAGACGGACATGTTTAAATTGATTTAGAATTTGACGCTGATCAAGGATATGTATACTTTGTATATAGTATGAATACAACTCTCATCCTTCGGCGATGGGTATAAAAAATAAGACAAGAATAAATTTATTACTCGTTTCGCTTCCCAGTCTTTATTATGTTAATCATGAACGGCATTTGATCGCAATACTGAAAAATAGATCGAGTATAGGTGGTGTCGTTCATACCTTCTATATAACGGACTGATTTTATAGGATTTTATAGAATTTCGTAGACAGTTTCATATACTTTCTTACTTGGTCGCCTACGATTTTTGACAATTTGGGGCGAAACTTTAGGCTCGTTTAGCCGTTTTTTTTTTTTTTTTGGCCTTTGCTTTATGCATCAGTTAGCATTTTGAATGTGTCTCTTATCAATGCAGCCCGCTGATGAGCACGGAGATCTCTGGGTGAAAGGAAAGCAGGAATTAGTGTTCAAACAAATCTGATGTGATAGTAAGAATATCGCAAAAAGTTTCTCAAGGCGGACAGTTCGATAGTTGGTCAATGCTTTTAAGTGATATGTGTTAGAACTTATACGGGCAAATCTTTGAAATCCACTTTTCCACTTTGATACATGGGTTTTACTAAGGAATTATTAAAAGAAAGAACGGTTTTTAACTAAACTTTATGTGATCTTCATAACCTTGAAGTCAGTTCTCGAACTAAATCCTGTGAGAGTGCTATGAAAAAATTTAAAGTGAATTTTGTTTTTATAGATAAACATTTATAGTCGTATAGGGCGGATAAATAAAACTAAATGTAAAGAACTGATTTCGTTATATATATATTTCTATTCCTATGCATTACAAACATACCACTAATCCAGTCGGTGGGTGATTACATTGAGCGATCTTACTGACTTTTGAAGTAGACATGACGAGAACCGTAAAATAAAATTAAGGTCAAGCGTACTTTCTTACATGTTGTAAGAACCGTAGTTATGATTTCAAAAGGCAGACAGACGGACGGACTTCACTGTTCATGCTGATCAAGAATGCCTGCGCTTCTTTGCTTCTCCTAAGCGTTCTGAAAATCTCATTAATTGATCTCTAAGAGAAGTCGAAAAGGAAATGTCCTCTCTCTTCTGTCGTGCTCGCACTCCTGTTCTTAAAAATCGTTTTTCAGCTTTAAGATTGAATATTTTTTATTAATATTGTCACCCATTCACTTCACTTATTCATTGATGCTTCTGATAAATTAACTCAAGCTATCTCTATTATCAGATCCAATAGTTTTGAAGCTTTACTTTTACTGTTGTCTAATTAAATCTTATAAACATAAACGTAATAAAACCATCTTTGCATTGTTTCTAGACCTGTGATTTAAAACTGGACCGTGATTCCGTGATAATGCGTCGGAATGGTTGCTTTTTACCTAATATGTTTGATAATAACAATCGTTTATCAGAAACGAGCATGGGATCGTCAGAGTAAGTTTTCGTAAATTTTCACTTTGTTAACCTTTAGTTACATTATATATCTGCACTCTAATTGTAGTAGCGGCTTGTCAAAATCTACGTTTTCAACACGACCGCAAACCAGTTCTATTAAATCAACTTTTGCCAGTTTTAACTTTAATACAAGGTAAGAAGGTATACGAAAATTTGAAGAAAACTATCCATACGCAACTAATCGTTAAATTGCTTTCTTTTTTCACATTTCCGTGTCGTCCTCTTGTTGTTGTTGTTAATTAAAAATTTAGTTTAAAAATTTAATGGAAATTTTTCTTTATTTTTAATTTTTATTAATTATCTTTGCTTTCTGTTTGCTTTGTTTTACTTTTTTTTTTTTTTTTTCATTCGAATTTTATATTTTTATATTTTTAATCCCGGTTTGGGACATTCCCACAAAACAAAAAAAAAAGAAAAAAAAAACCCCCCCCCAAAAAAAAATAAAAAAAGAAAGTGATTTTTTTTTTTTTTTGTTATTATTTTTCAATACAAAAACTCTTTCTTTTTTAATTTTTTTTACTTTGTTTACTGCAATTCCAAGTTGGATCGAGAAATTTTGAGTTTACCTGTAGCCAATAGTCAATGGTATACTTCGCCGTTAAGTACCATAACATCGACACCAGAACGTGAAGTTAATAATACAATAACAAGTGCCTCAAATACTTCGCTAGCTAACAAAACTTTAGATCCTAAAGTCTTAACTGAAGAGGTATGAAGTAAAGTGAAGTGAAGTGAAATTGAAATTTTTAAATCCGCCTTTACATGCTTGTTATAGTTAACTTCAAAGCGTCCATTACGTTCAGAAAAAGAGAAAGAAAGACGTTTATCACGGCCAGCTAGCATTGCCACGCCTACGGCGAGTATGAAGGGTTATTCTTTGGCCGATAACCATTCTTTATCGGGCGCCGAAAGTAGCAATCGAAATTCGGTGGATACGACTGATTCTACATCGGAAGAGGATTTACGACCACCGCCACTGCCAGCTAAAACTCGGGATTCCACCGATTTCAGTAGCCTTAATTGTAGTCTCGACTGGAATCCTTCATCGTTTTCATTGAATGGTACCGCTTTAAGTCCAACTGGCACTATAACTCGTAATACCAATTGTTCTGGTCATGTAACTACTACCAGTATTATTAATACATCATATGAATATGTTGAAGCGAAAAATTTCGTTATAACTAATATGGTTGTTGCGGCCACAAACGATGATAAACGCAGACCACCGACCCCACCGCCGAAACCATCACGCAACAGCAAACACATTCCATAAAAAAACAAAAACAAAAAATGAGAAACAACGATCGTAAAGATGAAATTGACAACAGAAACCAAAGTAAAGCCATAACAGAACTATAAAGATATTCGAAAGATGAAAAGGAATTTGAAAATCAATCGTGAACAATGTAAACAAGTGCCAAATATCTACACACAAAGTTATAAAACAAATATATGTTGAATGGAAAGTAGCTCTTCACAGTACATATTCCGAAAAGGGAAAAGAATAAAATTTTTTTTTTATACGATTTAAAAACTTTTTTAACTTGTATGGTATTTATTAAATTTATTACTATTATTATTATTATTATTTTTTTTTTTGTTTTCTCAATGAAAGCCTTTAAGTCTTCCTATGATAAATTATAACAAAAAAACAAAAAATATCTATTTCATAAAAAAAAAACAAAACAAAAACAAAAAATGAGAGATACTTTTTACATATATATATTTGTATATGTATATATCGAGGGAAAAGAGAAAATCGAACCGTTTATATAATACTTTCATAAAATAATTTTATCTTAAGAATTAAAACAAAAACATTTTTAAAGTCAATTATTTTTAAAATATCGAAAAAGAACACAAATATTTGTTTATTATCAACTTAAAAATGATCACTCGCTTGTAAGGTTCTCGTCAAATATTTGTTTAATGAATAGCAAGTTCTTTAAAGTATGAGAAATTCGAAGCTAGCCTTCGATTTGATCATGAAATTGATATATATATTCCATAAGTATCTTACTTTTCATTAACTCATAAATATTTTTAGATAATGAACGCCTTTTCCGTTGTGTCTTATTTTAATATACAGAATTCATTTGTTTTTTTTCTTTTTATATTTCTCTTGACAAATTAAAAATTTAATTTTTAATCTTTTTTTGTGTTTACTTTTACTTATCACTTAAAGCATATAATTTAATAACTTTCATCTTTATTAATATAACGGCCAAAGATTTATTATTATTAAATTTTTTTTTTTTAAGTCTAAAAGATGTATGTAAAGGAAGAAACTTTGATAAAGAAAATTTTTTTCTATAGAATAAAATTTACATACTCATGTTATACAAAATCAATAAAAAAAAAACTTTTCTTTTTAGGTTAATACTAATAGGATTGCATTTACAAATTATGCCACTATGCCTTCATTGCCCTCAAAGTTCGAACATTCTCAAATTACTCATGAATTTCAGACGAAAACAAATTCTTCAAATTTACTGTACATTGGCCATGAATTCAAAATTTCTGATGTGCCGTTCGCACAGTTCGCCGAATAAAAGATTCGGTCCCTAGTAGAAGTGATTTTGATCATATACTCAGTATATCACCGTCAAGGTCGGATGACACTCTAACGAGAATTGCTAATTAAACCCATAAGTCCCTACTCCATCGTAAAAGAACCAGGTCCACCCGTTTTAAAATTTTGCACTCAGTAACTCGTAGGAAAGTTCTTACACTTCGCAAGAAAAAAGCTTGAACTGTTTTTATTTTTTTACTAATGATAACCAAGTGTCAAAAATTTCCTGACTTTCCGGCAAGCAAAAACAAAGGGAAGAAAAAAGTATTTTTTGGAATCATATGCGGGCCTTATTCCGTTAATCTGGTCATTTTGTGTTAACCCACCCGATTTGGGTTAAAAAACCTATCAATGTAAAGAAATTCACAAAAAGCAGAAGAAAAGTAAAAAAGCCAGAAAATCATACTCGCAATCAAATTTTATTTATATCGTTATAGTTACAAGAATTCAAGGCAAACTAAATATAACGTCCTATTAGTTTGTTAACAATAAATGTAAATAAGAGCACGTGCAGAGTAAATGTAAACGAAATAAGAATTTTGACCAACAAAATGTTGCCGTGGAGCCTTAAAAGTAAAAGAGATTATCTACGGATGTGCTAACGATCGCTTTGGCGGTAAAAGCGTACGCGATGTGCCGCAAGTTTTAGGACAACCATTGGAAATGAAAGCCGGGTTACGAGCCGAGGAAGCAATGGATTTGTTAAAACAATTTTACAAAGGTCAAAACTCTTCGGCACCTGTAGCTAAAAGTAAAAGATAATTGGACAATGGAAACTTTCCATATTTATCGAGTAGGACTTTAATTTCTAGCAATTAAGCAATATTCAACTTTTTTCATCAGCTACAACTTAACAAGGTCTTTTTGTTTATTTTTTAGACAAGTGTGAAAAGTGTTATCCACCAATTTTTTTTTGCTTTCTTTTTCCTTACGACTTCGCAAATATATTTAAAAACATTGTAAACGCTTTACAATCCATATAAAAAGACATATTTTAAGCGAAATAAGAAGAAAATCTAACATATGTGTTGGTAGACCTTTTTTGTGGGGGTTTAAATGTTGCCATAACCGCATGTTGAAATTTTTCGGTTGTGTCGCTTCTTTTTATATTATTGCAAAAAGTGTAAATGCTTACGCTTCTCCACAGGATAAACAATATGTGGCGTATAAATTAAAAATAAACCGGGGCGCAACTAAATAGTTGCATATAAATTGAAAATAAATCGGGGCGCAACTAAATAGTTGCTTGTTGTTAATTGTGCTCTTACTCTTTAAGTGTCCCAGTTGTTTTGAAGATTATTTTTTAATACTCTTTTTAACACTAAAGCCACCGACATTCCATGTATACCTATTTGCACCGTGAGCGGTCAAATGACCGCGTCAAAAAAACATATATAAAGTAGATAGTAAACAAAATATTTTTCTGATGCTACATTAAAAAATCGTTCCCCGCTTTTCGATGTTGTATGTTTTATTTACTTTTATGCATTTTCATCACATTTTTTACAAATTACAGCATTTTGTGTTGCACATTTTCCACATACGTATCTTTTACATTTTATACAAATTTTGTTTGTTTTGTTGACTTTACAATATCTTATTTGACAAGATCTCCGCTCAGAAGAAGCAGTGTTTGTGTTTATTATTGTTTTTGATGAGCATTCTTGGCTTATCTGTTTCTCTTTCTGATATTCGGTCCCAAGTTCTTCTGCCAACTGAAACAAAAACTCTTGCCTCGATATATCCTCACCCGTCGGCCCTTTATCCTTTGGTCGGTTACATCTACACCGAATTTTGTACTATTATAAACTCTAATTGTCTCTGGTATACGGGTGTCATTTTTTTCAATTTCAACGGATGAATGCATCGAACTAAGTATCAATACTTTTTTATTTGGTTTAGCTTTATAAATTGTAAGAATGAAATCTTTCGATTTGTATAATATTGTTGAGAAGCGTGTCATACTATCCTTTGCCTGTCTCGCTAATTTTGGTAGCTCTCTTTTATTTCTCCGGATAGTTCCAACAAGAGTAGTTCTTTTTGTTAGAAGTTTACTCGCTTGTAAAAAAATTGTCAACTGTTATATTTCTCCCATGGCCCGTATATGGTTCTGCTAATTTCAAAGTTACAAATTCTCCAAGTGGGATTGATGATTCTCTCCCTTCATCTTTTCCCAAATATGGAAAGCCGTTTACTATATATTTACATGCTACATCGGAAGCTAACCAGAATTTTATACCAAATTTGTCCGGTTTATTGGGCATATATTGAGCAAAGCCTCTGATTCCGTATATTCTCTTACATGTTCAATCATTTCATGATCAATAATCAAAGAAAATGCTGAAAATGCTCTGCCCTTCATAATATTTCGTTTAGCGTATCCTCGGATACTATTCGTATTCGTATTCGGAACTAACTATAAATGTCTTTCTTTCCTGTCCTCTACGTATATTCAAAATTTTGTCTTTGTCCGTTTCACTGTCAAATAAGTCACAATAATTTTCTGTAGTATCATCATCAATACCGTAAACTTCTTGATCATCTTCCGAACAATGCTCGTCGATATTATTTATTTTGTCTAATAAGTTGATATTCCACGAATGTCGGACACATTGATTAGATTGTAGATTGTCTACAATTACATTGCAGACTCCTAAAACAATTTCAAGAACAAGATTATCGAAGAATATAGTCATAAATAACATAAATTTTTCAAGCGGTCAAATGACCGCGCCCGGTCGACTAGACATGGTATAATTTTTTTTCGGAAAATACACATTAAAAAAAGTTGTAAATATTGAAAAATTGTTTGTATGTATATTTTAGGAAAAGTCAATAAGATACATGATGATACAATAACGTTTTGTGCGAGAAATTTTAAACGAAAGTTTAAAAACGGTCATTTGACCGCGCGCGGTACGTTTAGTGTTAAAGAGAATTGAACCGTATCGTCGACCAACAATTTATAATTATAAATAGATTTTTTCATTCTCTTTGATCTTACTAACATCTCTGTTGCATACGTTAAAATTACCTTGTTAATTGTGCTCTTACATTCTTATCATTAGCATTTATAGCAGAGCACAGAAAGAACAGAGTAAAAGAGAGAGAAATCACACTTTCATGTTAGAAAAGTTCCCTTTTATGTATTAAAGAATGTTAAAGACAATTTTGCATTGCAATTGGACGTGAGAGCTATGCTAGTTTCTTTCTCGTCTCTGCACTTAATTATTAAATTATTAAATTTCGCGCGGATGTTCGTTTGAAAAATTGAATAGAAAAGTTAAGAATTAAAAAAAATGCATATTGAGAAAAGATTAAAATTAATTCGTTTTTGATGTGAGTGAAAGGGAATGTTAATAAATTTTCCCGGCGTTGTGTAAATTGGTTTTTGTTGCTTTTTGGCGCGTCAGTTTTTCTTATGTTACGGACGCCATCGTAGTAGGTATAAAAATAGTAAGAATTATGTGAAATTAATTGAAAGTTTGCGCATTAAAGCTAAATATTCGTCTACGTAGAAATTTGAATATAAAAAACGGGAGAACAAAAACACATTTGGAATATTAAGGGAGATAACGTGTGCGTGTGTGTGTGTATGTATGCGTGGTATCGTTATTTTTTCCTTACCAAATAGTGATAATGTTTTTTTTTTCACAAAATATGATAATCGTTAGAAAAGTTTGAAATGTGAACAAAAAAATTTCAGTAAATAAAAGCTTACTAATGATTAATATAAAGAGAATAATTCTATAAAATGAAAAACAATTTAGTAAATGAATAAAGTAAAAAAATAAAAGTTAATACTTATGTTCTAATATCACAAAAAAAATGCCGAAAATCGTTTTCACTGCTTGCTGTTGCTCTGTTTTGTTTTTTTTTTGGAAGAAAATTCTCCAAAAAAGTTATTCTTCGAAACTCACTGTAAACTCTTACTTATAACTGATAAGCAACTGCTAGCGTCCACAGCTATATACACTCATGACTGTCAAAGATTAATTATTGCTTTTAATCAATCCTATTATCGCTCTCGGTGTACCCTGATCTCTACATTATCTTGCCTGTGCTATGAAATAATTGCCTTTGCTTGTTATAACGCATCCTTTATCAACACATAAACATAATTAGATTGGATTTATACATAAGGCATTCTTGGATTTCCATGTAATTTCATTACAGGTAAGTAGAGTATTTGATTATTTTCAAATACATGTTATATATGGAGAAGTGTGCGAATTTATTTTACTTTATGAACTAACTTTTTTTTGAAGAAATTATTAATTCAATTATTATAAAAAAAAAAATATATAAAAAAAAACTGTCAAAAGGAAGATTTTACGTTGATTGAGCTATGCCCACTTGTCCGTACGTCGCATGAAGCATTTGCGGTCGCAAAAATTAAGATATAAATCGGAAATTTGTCATACATATGCGTATCTGGCTGTAGCCCTCGTCAAAAAATGAACCTGAAAATCCACAATAAACAGAAAAAACTGATATTTATAATACACGGATTTTGTTACGAAAGCAGTATTTACAAGGCTACAAGCCAAAAACTATATGACTCACTTGAAATCACCAAAATAAAGATTGCAACTCTTGTTCCTTCCACTGAAAGGTACCCGTATAACAAAAATTTCGCGTTGGAGCTTACTTGCAACATTAAGAAATTTTAATCGATTTGAGGCCCTAAACCGAGATCTTCAAGTTCGCTGTGTGATCGTTAATTCATCTGTTGTTGTAAGAAAGTACATAGAAAGTAGATCTTTCTATGAATTTCATAATTCGGGCTTGTAACCCTGTCATTGTTATGGTCGCAACCATAACGAGAGGATAATTTTAAAAATATAAGTGAACTCACTTTCAATTTTGTCGAAAGGAGGACAAGTAGTAGCTTTCGGTGAGGTGAGAGAAATCCGAGAGTTAAAGTTTGACAGGCTTGCTCATGCACTCGCAGGTAGTTCTAAATTTAGAGTCTTCGATTATTTTCTCTTCTGAATCGGTGGAAAAATATCTATCGACAACGGCGGGGACGGAGGAGCTCCTGGTCTCATCGCAAACAAACCATCAGTATAATTGCACGTAACTGCGATGATGGCTTAAGGTGGAAACTGTGCTTAATGGCTGATCTGAGGATATCCGGTTGTTATCGCGATAATGGTACATTGCTAGGAAAAGCTGGGCAAAGCTAAAAGGAGGCTTCCATAAGAAATAAAGAGATTTGTCTTTCTCTGTCAAAACTTTTCGCTTTTTTCATCAGATCGTGTTTCATCCTCTGTTACGATGCCCGTACACGATAGTTAGGCGAATTCGCTCCCAAAACCAAATAAAGCTTCCTTCTTCGCCTTAAAACCTTTTCCTTTACTTACCTTAAAAAGTCTTACCGTAAATAATTCTCACATGTTTTTTTTTTTACATTTAGTAAACAATAGCATTTTATTTTGAATAAAAAGATACTTTTACTTAACTCGAATAATTAAAAATATTAATAAAAATAATACGAAATAAAAGAGAAGAAAATTTCGTAGCAGACTTTTTTAATTAAAGAAATATCGAAATTTCACAAACAATGACTGGACTTTATATGCTGAGCATATCCTGACTGTTATAAAGCTTTAGCAGGCGGCAGTTATCGAGTTAAGAAAGCGAAAGGAAGGAGGGCGGGCATTCATTAAGTAGCTCATTGTATATTAAAATATTAAACGCAATTCTTAGTAATATGTGTGTGAGAGAAAAATTGTTATGTTTAAAACATCAATTTTACGGTGAATTCATATTAATGCATATCGTCGATTGACGATTTTGCTGTTGACTTATCTCCAATATTTGAAACATTTCTTGCAAAGCTTCGTTTGTTCCGGTTTTACGACGACAACGACGCAAAGTAACGCTGCCTGATTTCAATTCATTCACTAAAGCGTCAAGACCTGCAATTCAAAATAAAAAAAGGCAAAATAATTAGAATGTCATTAAAAGCAAATAAAGATATTTATTTTAAAGGAAAGCAAAAAAAAAATAAACATGCGATCAATGCAGTCTTTTAAATTTAACAAGTCATGCATAATTTTTACCAGACCTGATTTACTTGGTCATATCGAATGGAATCATTTATAATAGATTAATATTAATTAATAAATTATTAGATGACTCAGAGGAGGCTGTTTAAAAAGCAGCGATTATCTGCACCTTTTCCCTCACTGCATGTGTAAAGAAAAAATGAGGAAAGAAGAAATTGGGAAAATGTAAAAGCATTTTATCTTATAGGACTTTCCTGTCAAGAAGTTTGAAATTTATAGCAATAGGGAAAATGAGAAAATCCCTTACGGCATTTTGTTTTCAATATCTCGGTTTTTTCGCCAAATGTATGGCATGGATGTGCACCACGAACTTAAGAAAATGTCAGCGACTTTCAATTCCTTCAACTTGTTCGAAGTGGACGCAAAAGTATTTAACATCTTTGTCCATCTCGATTCGGTGTTTTTTTCACGCGATTTAGAATTGTTCGCTTAACGCGGATGCAGGACATGAGGTACGAAGATCTTTTGAACAAAATGAATAACGCCTTCAATAAGTTTAAAGTGCAGACTAGTTTTATTTATTCTTCTTATCCTCTTTGATGGGATTTTTGGTGCACTTTGTAAAAAAATGCTCGCAAACGTTTAAATCCCCAAGTGATGGTCAAATCGGATTCGTCGTTAGAAGAGAAGATGAAAAATTTCCATTTCCAGAGCGACTTTCGCTTTGCCACCATGCATGCGCTTTTAAGACGTTGAATTATGCCGTCTTGTAAAAGATGAACTTGCAAGAATTCTAATGAACGACATAATGAGCGTTACACTTCCATGTAATCGTCAAGTACACCTTCCAAATTTAATTTGGAAATGTTGCGTTTTTTGAAAGTCAGCGTAATAAGAATAGAAGGTGACCATAAGTGTCAAGTGACCTGTGGCAATACCTACATGTGTAGCTTCTAAAACAATAGTTTTCGTCTCTTCAAGGACTAACGTAATAAAAGCGATCTTATGTGTAATTGTCGCAATTCTCGCCATGATTAGCTTGCAGACTCTCCAGACGGTCCAGTCCGTTTGCTTCGTCTCTGCAAAAGCGAAAATATCGAAAGACTGAAAATATGTTTAACATCTGGTAGTTCACATTACTATATCGTTGCAATAATCGTTTTTTTTTTGTTTATGATATCACCGATCAGAAAATGCGCTCGACTTGAGCACTTTTCGAAAAGAAACTCTTTCTCAGAGAGAGAAAGAGAGCAGCTCACCTGCCTGCTTTGGGTTGACGTGAGAGAATTGTCTCTGCCAAATAAGGCTTTTGATCGCACTGATTAACTAGAGTGGAGGTATCTTAGCAGAATTATTTTTACTGTGCTGTCCAATTTCTTCTCATAGGTGGCTCTACTAGAGAGAAAATTAACACAACTTTTGCCTTTATTCGCTTTGAAAATCGCACTTTAACTTTGAACGGTTCGAAGATATTTCAAGTTTGCTTATCACCAGGTCGAAATTATTTGGATGCAAAGTAATGTTGGCGGAACTAGAAAGTGAAAGTTTAAGGCGGCACAGATGACAACCCAAAAATTATTATAACATTTCATGCAATTGTTATTCGTAAAAGCACGACAAATTCTCAACACTTCAGCGACCAGTCGCCTATTAATAGTCTTTTTGGTGCCGACAGTCATTTGTTGTGGTTATAGATAGTCATTTGCGCATAAAAGTAGCGCAGAAATTCCGCACGACCGCCTGAATGAAAATAAAGCCGTCGGCCGAGAGGATCTGCTATCGAGAGTTCACTCAGGTCGAGAAAGTGTTACCACATTATTAGTTTTTCATTATTTTGTTACGATCCTCTAGTGTCATATGTAAACGTACCGCACCAGCTAAAGTCTAAAATGTTGTTAATTAAATTTTTATTCTTTCAAAAGAAAAAAAATTCATTTTCATGAAAAAGCAAACAAATCCCCAGAATCTTAGTAAAAACGAAGGACGAGGGCAAATGTATCAAGAAAAAAAAAAAAAAAAACGAAGAAAACGACGAGACTATTAAAAAGGACTCTACTCTTGAACGTACAAATGCCTAAACATTGTCATGGTCAACAGTTTTTCAGTTGTATGTATGTACGTGAAAAAGTCTATAAACAAAATATTTAAAAATGTCTTTTTATCTCTAGAGAATCAATTCTATTTTTTTAAGTGGGCAAGAGAACGAGAGACATAAGCAAATAGATAGTTACGTTAAGAGTTAAGAAGAACATAAAAAATGAGGACAAATTTATTAAAGGTTTTTCTCCTTTTACGTATAAGCGGCGTAAAGCAAAAGCGCGAAAATCAAAAGTGAAATATTTTCAAAGAAAATCATATCAAATAACACCATGCTGATGATATACATACTGATGCGCTTTAAAGGCGATAACAAAATTGATTTAAATTGTGTGCTTAAAAGTATGCAATAATTTTGCCCCGTTTTTTTTTTTGAAAAATCATGTTATATAAAGTTTCCTATATGGGCTTAATTAAATAAAACTTTAGGTACACTTTCCAATTGCACAATTGTACTAAGGGCCTAAGGAACAGGCGCTTGATTACAAAGTTGCAAACCTTAAAATATACCTCAGATATATTCAATGTTTCAACATGGAACTTTTTAGATGTGTTCATATCACTTCACATATACGATCGTGGTTTGGGGTTCCTAGTTGTACGAAAATTGAAATAAGAAGCCAATTATTAAATTAAATGTAGAGAATGGTCATAAACTGTCCATAAGCGGATCTACACTAGAGTAAACTCTCCAATTTTAATATGACCAATTATTGAAGGGATGTTCCCTGTAAGCGATGTTGTAAAGAAATAGGGAGAGAGGCGGGAGTGGGCAGCGGTAGCAGCCTGTTGGGTGTCTGTCTTTACCAATAGCACAGTGAAGGCCAAATTATTTTATTAAGGGGAAACATTGCCTTTAAAGTAGTCTTCTATTGACAATCGAAAGGGTTGAAGTCCAAAAAGTCAACAATCGAAGGGGATAGTCTGCTGGCCTACAGTCTCATATATCGTACACTATAGTTGGGTACTAACGAGTCTTGTCTGAAAAGTAGTTTAAGTCCAAATTTTTTAAAATTAATTTATTTAAGACTTTCTTGATAATATTCTGCTACCATATGCGTTTTTTTTTACCCACCACTGTAAACTGGGGGTATACGCATTGTGTTTTTTTTCCAAAATATATGTAACACCCTCAGTGATGCTATAAAGCATATATATTCTTGATCGGCGTGAAATTCTGAGTTGATTCGCCCATGTCTGTCCGCCTGTGTGGTGTGTGTTGCTGGCACTCTCCTGGTCGCAAAAATTAAGATATTGACTTCAAATTCGATAGAAACATTGGATGTTCCTACACACAGGTTGATATTGAAAATGGGCTAAATAGGTCGGGGCAGAAGCGCACAGTGGAGGGCAAACTGGACTCAGCTCAGTTTTTTCTAACGAAAATGGTTGAATTTTTCGCTCGTTCCTCAGAAACAACACAAGTTAGAAGGCTGATATTTTCCATATTTACTTTACGAAGTACTCTATTCCTTATCCGCCATGTCCACACAAAGTTACAAGTGATTAAATTCTTCACTTTTCGTTACTTTTTTGAGGTTCTATGCTTATTTATCATAAGGAAAAATAGACCGAATGTTTACAACTATTTTGTGAACTGTTGAAATGAGTTACTCTTAACATGACTATGGAAGGCACCGCGATCACTTTTTTCTTCATAATAGTAGTGATATGGGTATCGAATAAAAGAAGTTGGAGAGTAGAATACAAAAAACACCGTGGTGGGTATGCGAGATTCGGTCCCGCCGCATATAACTTTCTTACTTGTTGTTTTTACAATTATGTTACTTCGAAAGGGAACACAACTTAAAGAAGACAGACTGCATTAATATAATTGGCTTGACTTTTATTGAGAAATAATGTGTATCTTCTCCACAATTTAATTATTAACTCTGCTCAGCATCAGTACCGCAAACACTCGTCTTATAAGCACGGGTGTAAAAAAATCGTTTTTGCCGATTGATTTTTTTGCCTCATTTCTCTGTTCTCTCTTTCACTCAAATTTCAGGTATTTTGAGTGAAAATAAAATAAAGCACGTTTTGCAGATTATTCAACAGTGCCTCTAATGCTCTCTCCTTATTCGTATGTTTTCTATTTCCAAATGTCCTTACAAGTATTGTTAATAGTTGATAAAGGTGTATGTGTTTGAGTGCATGTGTCCCACCTGTCCATTGCTGTCTGCATCGATTATAAAATCACATAATTTCCGTTAAGACAGCAGTTATCGTTTTTGGTAATCGCATCGCTCTCCCCCCACTTGCCCGTGGGTGGAGGTCCGTTGTAGAAGCATATACGTGTATATGCATGCATGCATCCATGTATGCATCCATGTATGCCTCCTTCATCAAAACATACATGAACAAAGAATATCACACTAACAATTGTTGCGCCGTTAACCTAGTTTTAATTTTTTTTTTTTTTGCTTCGTTTATATGAAATCGATGCAGCGACCCACAAAGGAATGCATTCATTAAAAGATGCCAAAAATTTTGTTGTTAGGTAAATGGACATAAATACAGGACGATTTATAGATAAAAGTGACCTTGTGTTTTTATGTTTATGGCATTTATAGGTTGTCCAGATGCTTCCTATATAAATTAAAGCGAATTTATATTTTATAATTCTTCTCCTATATAAAATCCACAAAATATATATCAAGGTTTTTCAAACCTTGAAAACTTGCATACTACATAAATATAGGAGAAGAATTCTAAATTTTATTACATAAATTCAAATATTTTTGGCTGCATTCGTACCTAATACTTTTATACATTCAACATTTACTTATACTGACGATATTCACGCAAAGCAG